GATGTATCGTGTGAAGACCGACCGTTTTTTCTCATTTTTTCATCTTCAATTACCTCAGATTCTTCTTCTCTTGTCTTATCAAGTCTTATGCCTTTGCTCGACTTTCTCGGGAGTGTAGAATATCAAAATTTTCATAGTCCACGAAATTCATTCATACGTACCTACCGTCAATTTTATAAGTTTACGTTCTATCATCTTTAGTGCCTGTTTTTCTTCCGAGAAAACTAGAAAGTGTTCTACTTTGAGCCGTTGTGCTGATATCCGATTTTTCAGCCTCTTTATATATTTTTCTAGCGATTCAATTCGATCTGCTTCTATTCAGTTGAGCTTGTGTTGAATGTTCAATCCTGTTCCTGTATCATCAATTCTCACGTTTGCTGGCTTTTCTTAGCTCTTCTTCGATGTTTGTTTTGTTTACACACTTTGTCGGAGGTATTTTGCCATCGTTGTTATTTCTCGCGCCATTTTACACTTATTTCATTCCGGGTTCTGTCGTCTCTTCTTTCGCAATACTCTTATATTTTTTTTAAGAATTTTTCCAGTCTATTCGTCCACTGTATGTGGATTATGGCTACGATAGTTTCCGCACGTTGGCACGGTTTATTTTTTGGTTTTCACTGGAGTTTTCCAGTTGCGGAACATCCACAGTTCTAATTGTCAATCATTCATTGCTTGCTTTCGAGAAAACCTAGAGACCAACGTACGACCTGATTTTGAAAATTAGAGTGAATTAGTTTGCAACACACAGTTAGAACTGGAAAGTGTGTACCAGCAAAAAACATCGATATTCATCGCTTCGGTCGTATCGAAAAAATTTAAGAAACTCTAATAAAAAATAAACCAAAAATAGATTTCATTGTTTTTGAAAGTTATGCACCCTGGTTTTACACAACTCCACTGATTTCGTGAAAATAATGAAAAATCTTTCGAACCAGCAAATTTTCGAGCAAAAAATTGATCCAGCACTTTCCTGTAACTACAACAGCATAAACGAAGCAAACAAAATTTATAAATTCCGAATTCAAATCCTAAATGGAATAAATTTTGAGGAATCGCACATATTAACACTTGACACTAAAGTTTAAATCTACGCCCTAAGGTTTTTAAGTAGAAACTTTGTTGAATCCTCATCGAACTAATAGAAACATGTTCCCAAGTCACGGTTCATTTTTTAAGGAAGTTTTTTATCCCCAAGAACAACCAACTGGCGCGATTGGTTCCATAAAACGTTTACCATCAGGTCTGAGTGATAATCCTACCAAGTTAGAACTAAAGCCCTACTTTCAATCGCTCTTTGCACCGCCACACTAAATTCTGAGTATATTTTGAAGACTGTAGAAGAAAGGCAATAGAAGAAAATTGAAATTATGCACGAAAGTTTTCAGGGAGAAAAATGGTTGATTTTTATTTACGTTTCTCCCTGAACTGGTAGAAATTTGTCAGCTAAATTACTGGTCAATTAATTTGAAATTCCATTTTCTTACGGTTCTCTTCAGCCGAAAATGCCCCTTCGGAAGAGCCTGTTTCATCATAAGTCTCGATATGTCGACGATCAGATCTACATGCTTTACTTCAAACTGAACCTCTATTCTAATGTCGTTCAATATTCAGCCTCTCGAATTCGACTATGGCAGGAACATTAATGAAAATAGTTAATTTCAAGACGGCATTAAACAAGCGAAAATATCGTCTCGTCTGTCGAATATTAAGTAATGCCCTAAAATGTTTCAATATTCATTAAAATTCCGAAATTGAGTTCAGTCATGACTCTGCTGCAGCTTCTGGAATATGAAAAACACGGTTCGAATTATGAGAAGAGGAACGATATAAAAGGAAAAGGTCGACGCAATTGAATTTCTTGGGTTTCGAAAAGGCAAAGACAATTTTGAGCCCTGTTTAATATTATTTATTTTCGCGATTTGCATACATTTAAAACCAAATGAAGGATGAGTGAAGCGTGTCGTCATGCAGGATCACAAAGCCACAAAGGAAGCCAACAAAAATTACTTTATCGAATGTGAGGGGGCTGTTTTTGAGTGTCTCTATTGCATTATAAATTTCCCCCCAAAAAAATTGGTACCCAAGAGGCAGTTCTACGTGAGCACGAAAATTTGGAAAGTTACTTAATCCAATTCGAATCAACACAATTAATTCGGTTAAACATATTTCGTTTTGCCCGATGTGTTGGAGATTAAAGCTGTTGAACAGGTAACAAGATATTTCCAGACAAACAGCGGGTATTTCGGGCTAAATTAGAATTTGAATTTAAATTTCTGTTTGCACTATTATGTGCCGTAGTTTAACTGAAGTCGGCGCTTTTCGTGAACACTGTTGAGCTTTGAAAGCGACAATATTTGGATTAGTGTATACAAAGCATGGTTGGTAAATGTCGATGAATGTGAACTATATTCGGGTACCATTTGAAAAATACTTTAACGCCTGCATGTGCAAATGGCCTTCTGGAGGCAGTATATAAAATTTTTAAGTGTGCGCTTTCAATTAACAGAAAGTTGTGCTAAATGAACAAAAAACTCTCACTTAAACGAGTGGATTTGCCTCAGCTAACCCCCAAGCCGATCGATCTATTTTAAATCTGCAAAGAAATTAAATCGAAACCCTCTTTCTCCTCTTATTGTCCCGTTCGCCTAATTTGGTTCGTGTTTTTCATAATTGAGAAGCCTGAGCACGAATCATGACTGAAATCTATTTCAGAATTTTAATGGACAACATTTCGAGAGATTGCTTAGTATTCCGCCAACAAAACGATCTTTTAATTAATTCACTAAACTCAGGGATTGGAATGTTTCCGTTAATGGACTAAAGACCCACTTTTTGAGTCGATAACGATGGAATTCCAGCCGAACAAGATAGCGACAACTCCATTTCTGAATCTTTAAAACTTCGATTAAATGGTGTATGTTTTCGCTATTGTCGTTCCACTTCCACGTGAAAAAAGTTAATTTTTCAATTTCAGTTCGTTTCCTAGTAAAATTCATCCTCTGCAAAATTTTACCGTCGTTCAACAAAAGGCTATACAAGGACATAAATATTTTTACGACGCCCTTCTAATAAAACTAAAAATTGTCTATGCTGGCAGGCTATACGTAGATGGGCCAATCTAAAATTTTATGGAACTATCCAGATAGTCCATATTGATGCCAGACGTAAAGCGGAAAATATTTAGGTTGCATATTCACTCTTCTTTTAGTTAATATTGATATTGGCCTGATCGATGCTATATTGAAAAAGAACTACTCAGATCACATGTTGGTCGGGAAATATTTAAATTAAGCTACGAATTAGAGCTCGCACTTGAATTGATTTTTGTATCTTCTTCCTCTTTATTTAAAGACCGTGTTTTGTTCCTTTCTGGTGCGTTTAGCCTGTTGCGATGTGGACGACTAGCATTCGTACCATGTTTTAGGTAACCGCCCAAGTGGTCTTCTGGTATTGGTATTTTCTTCTTTTGCCTACCGATTGTTAGTCATCCTATTCATGTGAACTCCAGTGTATGCTTCAAAAACGTCTGGTACCTTCAGTTCATTTCTAATTGCAGTACATCTGACTTTCTTACTGTGACTTCTTTTGTTCTTCGCAGTGTCTTTATTTGTGAAGCTTTTAACAGGCTTTCTGTTTTTAACGTCTTAACGTTATGCATATGTTAACGTTATGCATATGTTAACACTGATCCACCACGGATTTATAAATACGAACTTTACTTTCGGTGGTCATGTGTTTGTTTTTCTATATTTTTCTTCTTCGTTTTTAGTCTCTAACCCACATGGCATTTGACATTCTATAAATATCCCCGACGGTTCAAAAAATCTTCAGAACATTGCGGGAATATCCTGTGAATATACATGGCTGAATATTCCTGAAATGAATGTTCGGTAGAATATACATATAGATAGGTATATCATCAAAGTTTATAAATAGTATACGCTAAGTATGTACATATTGTGTATATGTGCAGATGAATATACCTAGTATGTTCAAAACAAATATTCGAATATAAAATAATTAATTGTGATAGTTTCTCAACGTAAGTTAATAACATGTAAGATAACATACACTTGTTCGAAAGGAGCAACCGGCAACAAACTTACTATAAAGAGTTTCTAGTTACTATCGTCAAGAGAGACCCTGCAGACCTGGTAAATTTTAAGACAGATAATATATTTTAATGTCACATTAAAAAAGTTCCCTCCTTGCATACGTTTTGGGTAAAATTTTATTAATCAGCCTATATGTCATATGCATATACATGTGAATGTCCATGTGTATGGACGTGAAGTGAATGAATGTGAAAATGTACGTTCAGTATATTAACTCTGACACATTCCTGGGACGCATCTGGAATGTTCAGAATGGTTTTGTTGTATAGATAACTATAAATTAATAAATAATATTCAATAAAAGATTCATATTCATAGATATTGAATAAAAAGATAATAAATAAATTTATTTTCCAGGTAAATTCAGGAAATATCCACTCTTGGACATGTGGGTCTTTGCTGGGCGCTTTGAATCCAGTTTTTTTCGTGTGAATTTTCGCTTTAAATCCATGTCGTTGGATGTCGTCTCTCTATCTTGCCGGAAGACGTCCAACCCTTCTTTTTTTCACTTTTTTTAATGTTGATATATACAAAGTAGTTAGGGCAAACATTGCACTGGTATATTTTTTTGCAAAAATATCTCCATAATAATTTTAAAACGAATTTAAATTAAAATCAGGTATTTTCCGCTGTAAATCCGTATCGTCGGTTGCCTATTCCGATTATGACGTAGCAGGTCATATCAACAAAGTGTCTTGTGTTTATTTTGTTGTCTTCGCAGCTTTGTTTCATTATTTAAGTTATTGTGATTATCATTATTTTATTGATTATTATTATTATCTTGCATAATGAAAAATAGTGACATGTATGGATCACAAAATAAGTGGTGTTTTGTGCTAGGATGCAAGAATACCTGAATAAGTGCTCTAAACTATTTTTAACCGTTTATTTTAAAAATTCCAAATGCCATCCAGGTGAGATTGATTCTTCTGGTGATCTCTGATGTCCGATTTTCCTTTCCAAGCTGGACCCATTGTGTCCTAGGTATATGTACTCCTTGACCACTCCCAAGTCAGGATTACCGACAGAGGCATTTACAGTTTCAGGGCTCATAAGTTGGATATTTTGAAGGTTCATTTTGAGGCCCACGCCTTGGGAAGCATCTTTGAGTTCCTGGAGTATTATTGCCAGTTCATGTGGGGCGCTGCTGAATAGAGTTATAGCATCGGCCAATCGAAGGGGGTTGATACGCCCTCCATCTATACGGACACCCTTCTGATCCCACCATAAACACTTAAATATGTCTGCTAGAGCTAAAGTAAATAACTTATGCGATATTGTCTCTCCATGTCTAACGCCCCTTGTCTAAAAAAAATCAAATTAAAAAAAATCTACTTTTTAGCTCAGATGGTTTGTGATAATTTTCGATAGTAGCTTATACAAGACATACTAGACTTATTGGCATACGATAGTCTAGGTTCGCATTAAAGGCCTTTTCTGAAGAGAAGAATGATCTCTGCATTATTTCTGGAAACTGGAATCTTACCCTGTTCGAGACATTTATTTATTTAATAATGTTATAAGGGCTCTCTTGTGTATAAGTGTCTCCCCCATTTGAGCATCTATCGATTCTCCTCATGACTTCAGAGTTGCCTCCAATTTACTACTGTCGATAGGTTTCAGTTCCTCTGATCGTACGTTCAAAGTAGATTTTTTTCTGTCATCTTGATTTGTGCTTGGGTTTGCTATTGACTGAGTATAAAGGTGCCAATCAAATGCCTTCTCCCTTTCAGCAACAGCTTCTTCTTAACCATTGCACATTTCATGGATTATAAGTTTGCCTTTTGATTGACTATAACGGAGGACGCTCACCTTTTTATTGTTTTAACAGTTTCTTCGATCATTTATGTACTTCTGATTTCTTCTACTTGCTTTCTTTACTTTTTGGTTTAGTTCTCTATAATGCGGTGAGTCTGTTGATGTTTCTGCGCTCCTCCATAAGTTGTTCCGTTTCCATTCTGAATTTCGAATCATTTTGCTTTTGCAATGTTCTGTTATGTTCCCGTTCTCTTAACTGTTCTCTTGATGGTTTCTTGTTTCGGCAACTGCTAAACTGATCCTCTTTTTATCTTAGCTCGCGTTTGGGGGGGAGGGGTCGAATCTTTTTTTGAATTTTATGTTGTCTTAATGAAGGTGGAAGTAGGTGCGTATGCCCAAATAATTTGGAGGTCCGTTTGATGTCACTCAGTTCGTATTCTAAGGCGGAGTGTTGTTCACTTCTCATGCGGTGCGGATATTATATGCTGTTGCATATAAAGTGTGGCTTAAAGTGTCTCTTTTTCTAGATTTATGCTGCGGGTTGGTTGGGTTGGTTGAATTCCATTTTTCGATTTTTCTGATTACTATTTTCATATTAAACTTAATACAAATGGAGCAATGATAATTTACTTCTGTGCATATAATGAACTAAGGATAAATAATACCTTTTTGAACCATAAAAAATAATACAAGTATACTTTCGAAGATAACCGGGAACAAAAATTTATCATCGATTTCATTGTTGCCAACAGACAAATACATCCATCTCAAATCCTGGATATTAGAACATTCAATTCGGCGAACATTAGAACTGAACACAAAATATTACTGGGAAAGCTAAACAAAGAAAACAGAAAGAATCTTAACAACACAAAAAAATAACGTGGAAGCATCATGGAATGAATCAACTAAATATCTTTGCCAAAGGAGTCTAGGCGAAAAACTCGATAGAAATTCTGAGAACATAAACGAGAACATTAATAGCAGTTGGGAAATAATTAGTGAAAGCACAGAGAAGCGCTCGGCACACGAGAAATCAAAATTAATTCAGATGGAACCTACAATAGGTGGTTTAGAAAAGAAATAAAAGAAAGATGTAAACAGAAAAGAGACGCTTTTTTCAAATATAGATCTCAAAAAACACCAGAAACATACCAACAATACACAGAACTTGGGTATGTCCAGTTTTACTATCTTGATTGCTATATAGAATTTGCATGAAGCGCTTTCCTCTCATCTGTGATGCAGTTTATTTAAACTTCTTAACGTTAATTAATAGCTTGTTTTCTATTTCTTATGATCTCTTTCTTCTGATGACTCGTGATCCATTTTGACTGAACATTTGTTCTTTCGAATTTTCCCAGTAAGTCTAAGTTGTCGATGACCTCATTTGTGCGGTTTCTAATAATCTTATATGCTTCATGTTTCTCTGATGTTATTGTGTTTTTGTATTGAAGAAATGCATCTTTTTTCCTGTCGCCAGGGTCTTTACCTCCTCTGTGAACCACGGCGTGTTTTTCTTCCGTTAGCATCTTTTTTTAGTATTGGGTGCAAGAATATTTTTTCTTTTAATCTGTTTTTCTATAGAGCGCTTGTTGAATCGTTCTTAACGGCCTCTATTTTCAACTCCTGGCTGTATACACGAGGTTTTTTTTTAATGTTTAATGTACTTCAAAACGGTACCTACTTACAAAGTACTAATACTCCAACGTCGCAAATTAGGGTTGGCTTGATACGGTTGATAATGGATTTAATTCTCCCTTATCTGGAGTAGAAAATCAGTCAAAAATTGATGGTTTCAAAAATAGTCACATTCTGATCAATGAAAATAATTCCAATTGAAAGATCGAATGTTGGTTCTTCGATGATTATGCGTCATTCAGAATTAAGTATCCACACAAAGGCACAAAAAATAATGTGATCTAAGTACACTCATGAACTTATACATTTTTACTCCCAAATAAAACTGAATGTTTTTGTCATTTAAGTCTATTATAAAATAGTCTAAATTTGATCCTTTTCTGAATCCAAGGCAGCACACAGATCCATCAAAGCTATTTAATTCCATGGCAACTTAATTCGCAAATGTGATGACTGAGCATATTTCGCATAGCTTTAAAGGGCCCGATGAACAATGGGGGATTATTGGGGATGTTGCTTTTTGTACCGAGTAGATCGCGCACTACTCGTTGTTTTGTATGAGAATCTTATGCTTTTTGAGCCGCTTTCACTCGCTGTATAATGCGTTTGGGACAATTCAAACCTTTCTGTGTAGTTTTAGGAATGCGTTTGGCTTTTCCGGCTTTTAATTTGCCGTTATTTGAAGCCACAAGGACTAAAGCCCGTATATTAGTTGATTAGTTTTTTGTGTTGGTTTTAGCATTCATCTATTAGACTTTAGTGTCTTTGCCAGTTGGAAATATGAATTTTGAGACTAGTTGTACTGTTTTTTTAATTGAAAGTTTTGCATTTTGTATTAGAAAACTGTTTTTTTACAATTACGCCAGTTTAGACTCGAAAATTGCCAAGGCAGTTGGGAAAACCGTTAAGGCATTGTTTCAGTAAAACTAGCAGAAAAAGAAGAACTGTAGGGTAAACAATTTGGATGTGCTATAATTGCCCTAAGAAAACTGATCCTTTGGCACTGAGACAGACAGCAAATACCTTGATTATTCATTTAAAAAAGTCTGAAAATGCAGCATCCAGCAAAGCGTTTTAACTGTTGCAAACAGTGTAAATATTTTTATTTAGTTTCGTAATTTCCGCAGAATTCTTTATTAAAAGTGAGCTCGATTTTCATTTAATCTAAATAATTAAGCGTTGGAGATAACTTTCAGGCTCTTTATTCATGAGTCTTAGACGTCCATTAATTAGATAGATGCAAGCTAATTTGCGTATGCTAATGCGATCGTTTGTAATATTTTTAAGGTAAAATTATTTAGTCAATTGAAAAATTGCAAACTTCTTGCTCATCCTCTCGAGTAGTGTACAAAGGAAAGAAAAACGTTTCTTTTGCAAATACCGGTAGGATTATTTGCGTCGAGGATTCCGATATTTTCAGTCAGTTTACTGATTGTCGTGTTTTGCCCTCTGCCACAATACTAAATTGTCTTCTCCCAGCCAGAATCAGCAATCCTGTTTTGCAATAACCACTTATACGCCTATATTGTTTAGTTTTCCTTTAACTATTTTTTTAAGAGATTTTGTTTCGGTTTTTCGTGTTATTTAGTAGAATATCTGCGTAAACATTCGCATTAAATTGTGGAGTAAGCTATTACCCTGAAATTTCTGTTAACGTTTTTTCTTTTGCCGATGTTTTACTACATTTTGTACTGGTCGACGGCCCTTGCTTTGATTGACCCAAACTAACCCAAACTAAATGCTTGAGAATGTTTAATTTTTGCATTTAAAAAGTTGATAAAAATAGATAATTTTGTGAATATTGGAACATTTATTGTGTGACTAATTCAGCTGCTTCTTCTTCTTCTTGTGCCATACTTTGTCGAGAGCGTAGCCGTCCTCGGAAGCTCTGTGGGAGAGTTTTATTTGGGAATCCTATGTGGCCTCTTTCCAGCATCAAAGAGACGATCTGGGTCAACGTTTCCATTCTTCTTTCCTAATTGTTACTGCCTAATTAAATCGCCATGCACATGCTTTATGCCTGCCTTTTCCAGGTTAAAATTTGAATCTATTACCATTTCTCACACATACGGTCGGTTAGAGTATTAAATCGGGCACTTTTTTCCGCCCTTTAATCAAATTTAAACTCTCTCGTGTCGAAATTAAAAACCGCTCGGATGCAAAACGAGGTTCAAAAGACAAAAGGGGGAACAGAGGGTCATGCTTTTGAATTTTTGCCGAGAATTAGCCACTTAAATTCATAACTGATTCGTTTCGGTTAGCCGTTTTCTTTGTAGGGAGGAAAAATTATCCAATTTGCACCCAAAATACGGGCAAATTTTGTTTTCTTTGCGGGATTTACGTCGCTGGATCGGGGCATTTCCATAAGAAGCAGATTTTTTGTATTTTCTAAATGCCAGATTTAGGCAAATTTTGCCTTGTGGCTTAGCAAGTAGAGGGCGAGATCGATAATGTCCCATTATTTCTTTCTCTGGACGAATTTATCACTCTGCCCTAGTTAGTTTGCATCATCAATTTTTACAGTTGCAAATATCTTAAGAATGCAAATGCGTTCTTCATCTATGCAAAGTTGAGCAAGTTTCCTAATTGGGGCTAAAGTTAAACGTCCCATATTAAGCATTTTAATTATTCCATAAAGCATGTCTTAAAATGCGCATTCAGACGTTCGCGGCATAAACTGAATAACAACATATAATAATTTTCCGCAGACGTTGAACGAAACTACGCGAAGCAGAGGAAACTTCATACCATAAATGTTTAATGAGCCAAAATTCCTGTAAACTCTAATAAACTTTTGCAAATTAGTTGGCAACATCCAGGAAAAGAACTGTTCGAAAAGTCTTTCAATTGGCCGCTGGAAGACATCGGCAAAAGTTGAACTATCCGTTCCGGCCGCGAATCATAACGGTAAACAATTTTTCGCGAACCAGATTACACGACCCCACGTCAAAGTTTTCGTCACAAAACAAGCCCTCATCTCACCGAAAAACAGCCCTTAAAGGGCATAAAGGCGCGTTGTCAGCTCGGCAGCTAAGTGGCACGTTATTAGCAACCCTAATAAGC